TCACGGCTTTTAGCGCGCCGTAGGAGCCACCTTTAATAATGAAACCAAAACTTTTTGGAAGCGGTAGATTCATCGAACAAGTTCGGGACATGTTCATCCCCTTTACTCTAAAACCCTCGCCACCAGTCGCATAGCGATCAGTAGTAGACGAGGGAGGGAGGCGGTAGAACCCACAAAAACAATGTGACCTGGATGACCATTGCTGGCTTATTAGCTTTCGTCGGTCAGCACTTACCAATAAAAGAAGCTGGTCATGTGTTCTGGTCGGCGGGGGCCATTCTATTATAATTGAGATTTCCAAGTGAAACCGAGAGGACAACAGGTTCGCAGGCCGAGGGTGGAGTGCTGAACATCTTATTGCCCAGTGACCAAGGAACACGAATTCAAGTACCAGCTAACCCGGATTTGGAAATGGAAATGGCTGCAGTATTTTTTATTTCCCCCAGAAAGTAAGCTCTTACTTGGAGTCACTCAGTATATTGCAGCTAGCACGACAGTTCGACCGTTGATTTCGGGGATGTCCACCACGGGCTGCAGCTAGTTGAAGGCAAACGCGGTGACTTGCGCCAGACTATTGTGAAAGTAGACTGACGAAAAATCTACCCTATTCTCTCACCACTCCCACACCGGACCCGATGTCAAGAAAAAGTCAAGAAAATCGGAGATGGGGAGGGCGCAGGCGGCTGCCGCGACCAACATTCAACACGCGTTGCAACAGCATGCCTCGCTAGGTAGGCTCCCGTCTGGGGAGCGTCATAAAGGCCACATTAAGAAGGAGCCATTGAGCCTGATACTCAGCCCGCAGTTAGCCACTACACACATCAAGACACACTGGGCTGACTGCAGTCTCCAAGTTATCCCGTCAGTTAGCACACAAGCGGGCAATTATCCTCGATAGGGCGGTCCTTAATTGTCATAAGTGTGCAGTATCATAATGACTGTGTCCTATAAATATTACAACTCCCGGTGCATGACTCACCCGTTTCTGCTGCTACTGTTTATGCTAATGCCTCTGAGGAAGAATCCCCTACGGAATTCGAAACGTCAGGCGAATGGTAGAGTATGGTGTACCCTACAACCTCACTACATACTCTTGGCTGTTTTTTTAGCAGTTTGCTTAAGATTAAGCGGTTATTCAGGCATGCTTGATGGACTTCGGGTCAAACATTCGTCTCTCCTTTCGGTTTACGCCTATAGACTATAGAATGTACTGGTTTTGGTCCGAGTTATGGATTATGGATTGCTGGGGAAAATTAAAAGAAAAACTTCAAAATGGAATATCTACCAGAAAACAGGTGGGAATGCTGAGCCGAATACCTCGAAGCTCTACCATACAGCAGCAGCAGAATATCGGCAAAATAAGTGACTGGACGTTTAGCTAGTACCTGTTGTACTCAGACTTTACCTGAGCAGGATAATCAGTCATGTGGGAATGGCGCGGATGACAAACACTTTCCATGGCAACCAGGCAACCTGCCGCGTAATTATCACGCCATCCTCCAACACGGATAATAGCAGTGCGTGGCCTCAAAAGACTATAAATACTGCGCCCCTTGTGCCTCTATCTACGATTGTCTCTGTTAATGAATTCGAGCTAGAATCCGATGGGTCAGGCACCTAATATCTTATTCCAACGATCGCACCTTCGCCTTCTGAACTGCTTCCTAGAACTCACCTGTTTACTTCTATTAGCAATGTCATACTCCTTTCAGGGTGACTCCACTAACAAAAGCCAGCTTTATAGTATGTTTGGATTTATAGGCCCAGGAGGGCCCGATAAGACCACACATTTAAGAAAAATTCTGGTAAATTATCTTTTCATTAAATAGTCGCTGAGCCATCTAACGTAGTTCAATATAAGTATTGAAAAACGTCTGATGCCGGTGTTCAAGAGTAATTTATGAGCAAGTAAGGTGTCATATGCGGTTAACTGCTTGCTGGCAGTGGCATTTTCTTTCATTTGGGCCGAATTTATTGAAACAAATTCAGCTTTAGAAACTCCCTATAATGTTAACTGCTCACTTCTCCAGCTTCTCCATTTTAGCCAAACGAACCCTGGTATGTGGGCATTCCGCACAACTACGGAAAAAATCCGACGCGAGAGGTTGTCATCTTCTGGATGGAGGCAAACGAAATGGGTCCACCTGCTGCTCAGACCGAAGAAAAGCCTGAGGATAAACCACCAGCACCTGAGGGTGGCGTAAGACGCTTTTTCACTTTTTATATTCTGCTTTTAGGAGAACCACTAGAGGTGTAGTTTACTTTTTGGTAAATTAGCAATTCATCTGCTAGTTTGCGCTAAATACTTTGTTTCGAAGTGTGTCCCGTGCGAAATTTGCAAATACTATGGTCCTTTTCCCACCTTTGGATTGTGTGAATATTCTGAGTAAAACTCTTGTGGCAGAGGGTACCGACAACTCGTAGGTTTGGCCCTACTTCCAAGAGCTGGGAAATACTTTACTAACAATCTGTTCATGCCATCAGTAGCACTTCAATACTGGGAACATTAAATAAAATTTTCCACAGCTGATTCAAATAAAATAGCTAATATCTTCAAGTAATTTTACTGTTGCCAAAAAACCTTTCAAGTATATTGAATGGGGCCCAATTCTGAGAATGGAGATTCTTACAAATTACATTCTTAATGTTCTACTTACAAAACGCTACAAAACTAGTGGGAAATAGTTAATTTCCATTTT